AGAGAAGTCATATTTTAAAACACTTTCTACAATAAGTTACATTTTTTTTTACGGTATGTGCAATAAGTTACATTAGTTCATAGCAATTACACATTTGAAAAAATCACACATTTGAAATTGAGATACGTAATAATAAACAAAACCGAGTATGTGATTTTGTTTGTTGTACAAATATCGTAATTAATTTTTTTGGAACAAGACGACTTATATTGATAATAAAACATTCAGCAATGGACAAAAGAGATAAATGGAACACTTAGCCACCAACCATCGAATCAGCCCGAGAATCAATCACCCTAAACAGAGTAATATGATTCGTTGATCCTATAATGGGTCTATATGAGCCTATCATGGTCGGAGCAAAACCCTCATCACTCCTACCTAATATAAGAGTCTGACGGAAATAAGTGTACGTGACAAACAAAACAACATGACGTTCGAAGTAAAAACACAAACAAACTAAAACAAAAATAGAGATAGCCTTCCAAACTCTAGTTGCACAATGCCTCCGTGGCGGCGGTTCAGGAGGGGACGAATCAACATCTCTTCGTCTTCTTTCGCCCAAACGGGATCAACCGCAGAACGCTCGTCATCCTCGCCATGGTTCCATCCGATCGACTGTGAGGAGACGTCCCACTCCTGCTACTTCCTCTGCGATACCAGCCCCAGCGACATCATCTGCACCACCTTCTCTCTGTTTCCGCTTCGAACTCCTTCGCTCGCCATCGTCTGAACCGCACAAAATCGGCGGAGGGAAGGCCTGCAAATCGATCTCCCAAGTGAGACTACTTCCCTGTGACGACCTCTGCTGAAGGCCTGGACTCCCCTTCTTGATCGATGCTTCACGAACCACTGGCTCAGGCCAAAGCCGCCGGAAAATCTGCTAGGGATAAACCCTAGATGGCCGCGGTTTAGAGGGCGGAAGGCGCTCTCGCACACTCCATAAATATCGTAATTAAATTGTGTAAATAGTCACACAAAAGTTATATTTTTTGACATACATATATACATATGAAAAGTAAATAATTGTAATATTAGTGTACTTATCAATTTAGGGTCTAAATGATCTTAAATTGAAATGTAAACACAATTAAACTTAATCAAACTTAAATATGGATTGTGGTGGACTTTTTTTAATCTGTGGACTTCTAAAAAAGTCTATGGACTTTTAAATCTATAGACTTTTAATCTGCTGACTTTTGAATCTATAGACTTTTAAATTCGTAGACTTTTGAATCCGTGGACTTTTAAATGAATGACTTCTATGGATTTCAATAAATCCAGACTTTTAATTGGACTTATTTCAGATCAAATCCAACTAGACCAGACTTTAACAAAGCAAATCAGACTTTAATAAATAAGAATCCCTACATAGAAAATATGACAAATATAATAGCTAATGTTCTCTATTCCGAATGAGGTCAAGCATAAGCATTAAAAAAATATAAGAAAAAAAATAATGTCATCAATGCACAAAATGGGAACAAACGTCTTGTGCTACTAAATTAGGATCAAAATTATTCATTTTATGTAGCTGCCCACATTTGAGTAGCAAGATTCATCCTCCATTCATTGGCTGTTTCCCTCTGTTGATCTTGTATCTGAAAATTATCTCATTCAAGATTGTCCTCATTATCATTAGGTGTGTCTTCTTCTGGGTCCGGAGGAAATTCGTCAGATCGACATTCACGTTGAAGAAAATTATGTACTCCTGCACACTGTTTTGAAGATTGTGAAGCGTGACTTCAATATTTCAGGAATTGATAGTGCATAAATTGTTAATAATTATGCTACTTGAATAGTTGAATCCTACTTATAAGTAAAGGTTGAAATTTAGATTACCATGTAATGTAATTCATCAAAACAAAGATAACTTTGGATTAAAGCAATGCCTCTAACTAATCTGTTTGTAGTCATAATATGAAAAAAAACTTCAAAATTCGAAAAAGGAAATCAATCAATGTTTATGCAATCAATAGTTAACCAACCGGTATAATTTTAATCACTTTTTAAAGTTATGAAGTTAATATGTGTTTATCTAAACAAAAGAATGAATCCATTTAGGAGAAATGATTGAAGTCACAGAATGATTTAATTAGAAATAACTATCTTAAAAGTCATATAAGTCAATTGCTTCATTGCTTGACTCGGCTAAAATGAAAAAAAAAACCATATCTCTTCCAATGTGAAATGTGTATATTATGCAGTGTTTTAGGTTAGTGCTTTTTAACAACTGATGAGATTTTACAACTGCGATTGAAAAGTCAAATAAAACCAAACCATTATTATTATATGTTCCAACTTATGGGTTGTAAATTTATACGAGTTGAAATCTTATCCTTGTTAACGTTCCTTGTTAATGGTTCACACAAATTCCGGATTTCAGCGTCAGTTTTAACATTCTGTTCATAAAAATTAATAGGGAAAAAGGTGCAAATAGGCCCTTGTGCTAACAAAAAAAGGTCACATAAGCCCCTATTTAGGAGGCTCTGTTCGGCCGTCGCCATTTGGGGTGGTTCCTGGTAGAATTTTTTGATGAAATTTTTTGAGCATCTTATTCATTAAGTCTAGTTTACTCATACCAAATTTCAGCTAAAACTTCAATCAGGAAGGCATTCAAATGAATTCTTGAAGATAATTGTACTTTTAACTGCGCAGTCATCTTCAAGAATTCATTTGAATGCCTTCCCGATTGAAGTTTTAGCTTAAATTTGGTATTACTAAACTAGACTTAATGAATAAGATGCTCAAAAAATTTCATCAAAAAATTCCACCGGGAACCACCCCAAATGGCGACAGCCGGACAGAGCTTCCTAAATAAGGACTTATTTGACCTTTTTTTGTTAGTACAAGAGCCTATTTGCACGTTTTCCCAAATTAATAAAATACTAGAAAGATTGACATGATCGAATAAGTTATAACATTACAATAAACTTTCTATCATTTGTGAAAACATTCTGTTCATAAAGAAATACGAATTAGATTATATCGGCCAAAGGATCCATCCGAACAGACTAGGGAAACAAAAATTCAGAGGCCCAACCTCATGGATGATGGGTGCCAAATTAAAAATCTTACTACGTAATATTCAAAACAGGTTTCCATAATCATTTATGAAAAGAAGCAATCCGCTGACAGTTTGGAGTCACGGAGTATAAATGAAGAGAAACTATTCGCGAACAATATAAATGAATGGAGAACAAATATAAGAAAAGAGTAAAAGAAGAGAAGAAACTTACCTGGAGTTTTTTTGGAGAGGCGGTTGTTCTTGGCGAAGCGAGCAAAAGAAGAGGAGTAGATAACCAAGGGAGAAAGTCTGCGTGAAATCTCTACGGGAAGCACGAGACAATTGACCAGAACGATTATATATATGAGTAGGTCTAAAGTCCATGAAAATCCATTATTTTGTAATTCCACAAGATTTGTTAATATTTTGAATACACCCATACTTTTATTGACTTTTAGAAATCCTAATTGAATACACCTGTATTTTTATGGACTTTTAAAAATCCTAATTGAATACATCTAGATTTCTAAAATCCACGGACTTCTAAAATTTTACCACTAAATCCCAATACAATACACCCCCTTAGTTTGATAAGTGTAAACTAAGAATCGATACTGGGTGTAAACATATACGGAGTATCAGTTATTTAGTGGAAATGATAAAAGGAGGTCGTAAAATTACACATACTCGCAAATAAAAATAAAAATTGAATACAATTTTTGAAGAGTAAAAAAGGTGAACACGTTTAAAACAAGGGAAAGTTCCTGAAATGGGACAAAAAACGTTTGTAAATTCCAAAATAAGACTGTCATATTTTTATTCCTAAAATAGGAGTAATTACTGTCAAGTTTGAAAAATAGTGTCATGTTTAAAGTCTGGTACTGCCAAAACATGACAGTAATTAGTCCCATTTTGGAAATTAAAAACATGGCAGTCCCATTTTGGAATTTACAAACGTTTTTAGTTCTATTTAGGATAAATTCTCTTAAAACAACTCCAGAAAAGAAAGTGAAGACGTTTAGATGGGGAAAACAATTTTATAAAACATTGAAACAAATTCTGAAAGGGAAAACTGAAAAAAAAACTTATTAATAAATCAAAGAAAGTTCTTAAATTAATATTCCACAAAAAAAATTGTAAAATGTTACCACTAATTCTATATACTCCCTTCGTCACAATTTGATGATCTCATTTCTTTTGGGCTCAAAGATTAAAGGAGTGGTTGAAAAAGTAAAAGTTGTGGTTGAGATTTGAGTAGAAAAAGGTGAAATGATGTGAATCACATATTTCTTTCCAAAAAGGGAAATGAGACTATCAATTTGGGACGGCCTAGAAAGGAAATACGGGATCATCAAATTGGGACAGAGGGAGTATACAATAGGTATATTCCAAGTTTTAAAAAGTGAAAAGGCTAAAAGGAATAAAAAAAAATAAAAAGTGAGAAAATTTTAGAATAAGATGAATAAGAAGTTCATGACAAAATCAAAAAATAAAAAAGGAATCTCTAGTCAAGTACTCCCTCCGTCCCAAAATGCTTGGCCAAATTTCCTTTTTTGGCCGTCCCAAAAAGGTTGGCCATTTCCATTTAAAGTAAGGAATATGTGGCTAAATTTAATTCTCTCTCCTCTGCACAAATTTTGACCACACAGTTTTTACTTTATTAATCCACGTGCAAGTCAACATTGGCCAACGATTTTGGGACGGAGGGAGTATCTCGTAGTCTGATGTCATCACTGTGTCACTCTCATCCAATTCGATGTTGGTATTACATTGAGCACCTGCTATTTAGGTTAAAAGTAATTGTTTAAAAAAATGAATATCTAAAAAGAAGTGACTAAAAAAATACTCCCTTCGTCCCATTTTACCTGTCCTACTTTCCTTTTTGGGTTGTCCCAAAATAAGTGTCTTCTTTCCTTTTTTGGAAAGAAATATGTGGTTTACACCATTTCACTTTATTAAACTCAAATCTCAACCACAACTTTTACTTTTTCAACCACTTCATTAATAACCATGCCGAGTCAAAATAAGACACATAAAATGGGAGTATGGGACGGAAGGAGTACTCGGCCCTATCCAACTGTCAACGTTACTCGGAATAACCATCCAACGGAATATAGTTATCAAGATAAACAAATCAGGAATTTCTCTATTTTTTATTCCATCACTTTCATAATAATTATAAACAAAAACCGTATCCAGTTTTCCCCCATCCATTTCCCATTTTCTCAAGAAGCGATCACCATTCAATCATGCGGTCGCTTCAACCGCCACCGTTCGCCCCGCCGGACTCTTCGTCTTCGCCTTCTACGGCGGCGGCATCGCCATCGGCGAATCGCAACCGACCCCGGCGGAAACCCGATCTAACTCTTCCTCTTCCTCAACGCGACCCAAGATTAGCTGTACCGCTTCCTCTCCCTCCCGCCTCCGCCGCGTCCTCCGCCTCCATGTCGCCGTCCTCTTCGGATCCCTCGACTCCTCTCAACTTCTCGGAGCTCGAGCGCATCAATCGCATCGGCAGTGGGAGCGGCGGCACGGTCTACAAGGTCCTCCACCGCCCGACCGGCAAGCTATATGCTCTGAAAGTGATTTACGGCCACCACGAGGACTCCGTCCGCCTCCAGATGCGGCGCGAGATCGAGATCCTCCGCGACGTCGACCATCCCAACGTCGTCAAATGTCACGGCCTGTCCGATCATAACAGCGAAATTCAGGTGCTCCTCGAGTACATGGACAAAGGATCGCTGGAGGGGACTCACATCCCGCAGGAGCCATCGCTTTCAGATCTAACTCGCCAGATTTTATCCGGACTCAGCTACCTCCACCGACGGAAGATTGTTCATCGTGACATTAAGCCTTCCAATCTGCTAATCAATTCGCACCGCAGGGTGAAGATAGCTGACTTTGGAGTCTCCCGAATCCTCGCACAAACCATGGATCCCTGCAACTCCTCTGTCGGCACAATCGCGTACATGAGCCCTGAGAGGATAAACACAGATCTGAATCATGGACAGTACAATGGATATGCAGGGGATATATGGAGCTTGGGAGTGAGCATCTTGGAGTTCTACTTGGGGAGATTTCCTTTCAACGTCGGCCGGCAAGGAGATTGGGCCTCCCTAATGTGCGCCATTTGTATGTCCAGACCACCGGAGGCGCCACCGACGGCTTCAAGGGAGTTCAGGAACTTCATCGCGCTATGTCTGCAGAGGGATCCAGATAAGCGATGGACGGCTGTGCAGTTGTTGAGTCACCCTTTCGTTGTGCAGAACAGCCCGGCAAGCAATAGTAGTAATCCCGGCATTGCCAATCAGGTGCCTCAGACACATCCATTGCTACCTCCTCCACGCCCTCATTTTTCGTCTTCTTGATATTCATGTTTCTGATTTTTTTCAATGTGCAATTTGTATGGAATTGAATTAGCCAAACCAATTAGATAGATAGAAAAACTGATACTTGGGGATTTCACAGGGTTGTGTTTAGCTTGAGGCTTTTCTTTTCTAATCAATCTTCTTTTTCCTCTTCTGCTACAAGTTTTGAAATTGTGAGTTCATGACAATGTTGAAAGCAACTTTATTCATGGATGACTTTTCATCAATTGGTTAGGAAAGGAAGTTTCTATCTCTTATTTATGAAATCAAATTGTGTAGATGTATAACACACACCACCACCCCAAAGTATCCCTTTTTAAAAGCATCCATCCCACCTCAAATAAGAGTAGTTTTGATTCATCCCTTGTGTATCATGGAGAAGTTTAACTTTGAAGCTTGAACCGTTTCCTTATTTCCACTTGGGGATCTTTTGTGTCACCGCATAATAACAGTGTTATTATGTGAATATACATATTGACATGTATTTTCTATATTTGGTGGCTAAGTAGGTGTAGGATTTTAGAAAGATTTGGCTGATTTGTGTTTTAGAAGAACTTGTTTGCCTAAGTGTGGCTGTGAGTGGGAAGCAAGTGATATTTTTCTTCATTTGGTAAGAATGCATGGTGATATTTTTCTTCATTTGGTAAAAATGCATGGTGATAATTATCTTCTTTTCTGTTTCCACTTAATACGTGGTATATGGAGTAATATTCAGTGGCTATCTAATCAACTAATGTACCCACCCATCATTTTCTTTCTTTCTTTATCAATCAATATTCCTCACCCATTAGCTACTCGTCATTTTTACTTGTTTTTTTTGTTGCCAGGTCTTCAGTGTTTACTCTGTATTATACAATTCAGTCATACCACCATAGGACAAGCCTAAATGATCATCATCCTCTCTTTGTTACTTGGTCATCACTAATCCTATCACTTGAAAACCTGTTTCGTATCCCCATTTCTGCTCATTGATTCACTATTTGGCCCATATAGAGCCCACTTGGTAACGTTTAAACTTTAAAATGCCCATCTTTTGAAACTGTTAATGTTTGGTTAAATCACTTCAATATATTGAGAACTTGTTTGTGATATTTTTTTTGGCTTATCAATCTTATCGGCTAACTTTTTTCTAGTCATGGACCCGGTTCGGGCCGCCCAGCCCGGGACCGGCCCGGCCCGGCCCGCCACTGTGCGAGCCCGGACTGGCCCGGTTCTCGGGTCCGGGTCGGGCCTAGGCCCGGTGGGGGGGACGGGTCCGGGGCTTGTATTTGGCGAACCGGCCCGGCCGGGTCGGGCCCGGGTCCGGGCCGAATTGATTTTTTTTATTGTTTTTTTCATTTTTTGGGTACCCGGGTTGGGCTTGATGGTTAGGAGGGGTTTGGGGGGGGGGGGGCTGTTAGGAAAGCAAAAAAAAAATATATATGACCGAACCGGAGGCCCGGCCAGGACCCGGACCGGACCCGGTGGCTACCCGGGCCAGTCCCGGGCCTTCCTTCCCAAAAAAAAAAGCCCGGTCAGGCCCGGCCCGGAACCGGCCCGGCCCGGATCCATGACTACTTTTTTCACCCCGACGCGTACCTTATCAATGCACACTGAATTTTGCAGTAATAAAAAATAAGTCAAGTTATAGTTACTTTTCTGACTGATTTGGCTGAAATTACTATAATGGACAATTTAAACTATTTTTTTCATATATCTTATAAATTTATTTTACTAATAAAATATTATATATATATATAATATTTTCATAAATAATCAAAATCAGCTAGTCCAACATTCCAACTACTTCAACTTGAACTTCATAAATTTCAACAGAATCAGTTAATTCAGTCAATTTCAGTGTTATGAAGCGACATCTGAGATGAGATAAAACACAACTGAAATGAAACTTAATTACAAAAATATGATTAATAATTACTATAACAATGTATACTTTTATACTCAGGAAAACTATTTATTTGGTCCTCGTACTATCATGAAAAAGTCAATTAGGTTCTCGTACTTTTAAAAAAATCAATCAAATCCCCAAACTTTATAAAAATGTTCAATTGAGTTCATTTGCAGGTTACTTGCCATGTCAGCAGGTCCCCTGTTGATGTGGCTCATATGTGGAAGCCCATGTAGCAGGTGACCTGCTTACATGGTAAGTAATATGCAAATGGACTTAATTGAACATTTTTACAAAGTTCGGGGGTCTGATTGATTTTTTAAAAATACAAGAACCTCATTGACTTTTTCATGATAGTATGAAGACCAAATTAACAGTTTTTCCTTTTATAGTCACTTAAGTGTAAAATTTGAATATAAGTTACTATGATTAAGTTAGTCATTAAATTTGCTCAAAGCAAGTCTACCCTCTAGGCTCTATATGCCTTAGCATGAGATAACATTATATGATTTCGATCATTTGTGAAATTATTTCATTTCTATTGATTAGATGAAACACCTAATTTTAAATATATTACACATGAAATGAAACATTTAAGATAGGTTAATAAGTAATTGGTTTATTCATGTCTTTAAATTATTTCGTTTAAATTATTTCATGTCTCTAAACCACGAATGCAAAATGATTGTTAAAAGATAGGTTAATGTGTATTTTATGCAACAAATGCATATATTGGTGTTGATGCTGTAGAATATACTCATATAGATTAAAAGAGAGGTTAATCAAAACAATTAGGGAAAAGATGCAAATAGGCCCATGTACTAACAAAAAAAGGTCAAATAAGCCCTTATTTAGGAGGCTCTGTCCGGCCGTCGCCATTTGGGGTGGTTCCCGATGGAATTTTTTGATGAAATTTTTTGAGCATCTTATTCATTAAGTCTAGTTTACTCATACCAAATTTCAGCTAAAACTTCAATCGGGAAGGCATTCAAATGAATTCTTGAAAATAACTGCGCAGTTAGAAGCGCAGTTATCTTCAAGAATTCATTTGAATGCCTTCCCGATTGAAGTTTTAGCTGAAATTTGGTATGAGTAAACTAGACTTGATAAATAAGATGCTCAAAAAATTTCATCAAAAAATTCCACCGGGAACCACCCAAAATGACGAAGGCCGTACAGAACCTCCTAAATAAGGGCTTATTTGACCTTTTTTGGTTAGTACATGGGCTTATTTGCACCTTTTCCCAAACAATTACTATGTCTACTTTTAAAGATTCAAAAATTTATGCCGTTTCTAATGTCACTGAGTGGTAGTGTCTACTTTTTTTTGTGAGTGACTAGTTACACACTTACACTTATTCATGTCATTAAGAAATTCGGAGTATATGAACACAGGAAACAAGTTTCAAAGTTACTTTTCGCAGTGACATTTTTAACGCAGATTACTTTAGGGAGTTGTGACACATGGTATACCGGTCCCAATACAGCACTGTTATTCTAATTAAAAACAATCTAGTATCCTCCTCTCTTGGTCAACGCTTATATGTCACTGCTACTACTTCGTCTTTTTTTCTCCATTAAAATTCTAACAATTTCCATCTTTTGCAATGGAGCCAAAAACTCACTATATTTTTGCTTGGGAATATGAAATAAAACAAACTGGCCCACTAAACGATATGCATGCGCTTCTTTTTTATGAAGCATCAGTCAGTCCACAAAATTTTTGACACGATTTTCACTATGGATCATCCGGAAACAGTCTCTTTGTGCTTTAATATAGGAGTAAGACTGCGTACATTTGACCCTCCTTACTCCACAGTAGGAAGGAGCCTTTGCGGCACTGGGGTAATGATAATGAATGATGATAATGATCACAATTCTCACGCAAACATTACCTCCTCCCCAAATCCCAATTGTCATGAAGTCCGTATGGATCTGCGACACCATGATGCAAGTCCACAACCAGATTTATCTTTGCATTGGAAACAAAATTTATCCATAAAAAATAACATAAATACATTATAGGTCAAATAAAATTAACTTACCCATATAGAAGAATGATTTATCTTTAAAAAAAATTTATGACTTTAGTGTTAAAAAACATATTCACTCTTTACGTAAATTAGTTGAACAATTAAACTTCTTATTTTCATTGTTTACATTTGATATTATATGAAGTTACATCTTCGTATGCACGAGTTACATCTGTTTATGCACAAGTGATATATGAATGTACGCGAGTTACACCATGAAATAAACCCCTGCTAATGACCAAAAATGTTTCTTAACTACATCATTTTGTATAGCCCTATTTTTTTTTTAAAAAAAAATCACTATTTACAAAAAGTAATTGGGCAATTAAGATCAATTTTTCATTGTTTACATTGAAATCAATGTTTATAACATGTACGGAGTATATATATAATATAGTTTACATTTCAACTTTTCTAGAGTTACATTTTAATGTACGCGGGTTACACCTTAATGCACCCAAGTTACATCACTAAATAAACCCCTACTAATGAACCAAAAATGATTTTTAACTATATCATTTTATAGTCCTAATATTAAAAATAAAATATATTCATTATTTGCAAAAAGTAATTGGGCAATTAGGACCAATTTTTCATTGTTTACATTGAAGTCAATGTTTTTTTTCTAATATTTCGTTTTAGACAACTTACATTTCAACTTGGCTCAAGTTCCATTTCCTATCAACGTGAGTTACATTTTGTTAAACAAGAGTTACACCACCCTGTTACTTAAGCACACAAAAAAAATCATTGTTCATCCGCGTCACTTTTCATGCATATATTACCCCTGAGAGTACGGTGCTCATTGTGTGCCGGTACCGCGGTATAAGAACTCCATTTTTAAAGAGGGGAAAATAATTAAAATACCCCAAACTTTGAAGGAGTGTGAGATGAGCATCCCAAACTTGCATATGTAATTTAAATACCCCAAACTTTAAATAAAAAGTTATTTTAGCACCATAGTTAAGTATTATTTCTTTCAAAAATGTAAACTTATGGTGTTATTTGCATAATTTATAATATTTTAGAATTCATGAAGGCACAGTTAGCATTCTAAACTTCCATTGCGAAACAAATAACATTATCTCCAATCTATATAATTTCAACACTTTTACTTTTCTATTTTAAATTATGCAATTAACCCCATAAATTGACATTTTTGAAAGAAATAATACATGAAAATGGTGCGAAAATAACATTTTACATAAAGTTTGGGATATTTAAATTACAAATGCAAGTTTGGGGTGCTAACCTCACCCCCCTTCAAAGTTTGAGGTATTTTTATTATTTTTCCCTTTTAAAGATGTTTAAAAAAAACTCCACATCATCCGGAATGATTGAACCAAGGTCGTGACTCAAAAGTGATAGGGTAGAGAGGGCTGATTGAATTTGAGTTGGGGTCTAATTATTTAGTTATTATTACAACAAAAAATCTATTTGTATCCACTTTTGTACATTCCCTGTTTTTCTTGTATACACATGCAGTTCGTTAAGAAGATGACATCATTTATCTCGCAATTGTCTGTATATACCGACAATGTACAAAAGTGGTACAAAAGTGTTACACCAAGAAGGTTTCTTATTATAAATATTTAGAAGTCATTTTTTATTTATCGAAACACTCAAAATCACATTTTGTTCATTCACTTTTTTTATTCTTTTGCATACGAATAGCGGTTATCGCGCTATATAATCTCGCAGTATTTTATGAAAATTAGATTAGAAAATAGTTTTTCGAAAAATATTACTAAAGAGAAATTTATTTACAATAATATAACTAATAGCTAATATAGTATAATCTCATACGGACATAAGTGTAAATATTAAATCCAAATTAATATGACTAAGTTATTATTATAGTCACTACATTTAAGAAGTTATATTTTTATAAACAGCATTTAGTTGAATCATATATATGTAATTCTTTCTTAAAAAAGTATTTTGAAACAAATTGTGTAATCAAGTAAAGGCTCATACTAAAATCAATCAATAAATTTATCAAATTATAAAAACATTCAATTCAGTTTTTTAGATGGTAAATAACTCGTTAATAGGTTAATTTGCACTGCATAGTAAATTTTATGCTTTTCTTTGTTTTTCTTTTTCTTTTTTTCTTTCTTTTTTCCTTTATCTCTCCCCTTGACTTTCTTCTTCCGTTCCAACCCGCAACATTTTTTTCTTTTTCTCCCTTTTCATTCTCCTTTCACAGTCCACCCCACCAGAACGGTCCAAGAGGTACTGAGGTAGTACTCCATCCTTTATGTTGGAAGGTTCTCGTCTCGTGGGTAAATGACATTTGGACCGTTTTTATTCCCAAATAAAACCAAATCAGATCATATCAGACTCAGATAGTTTTAAAATACACATATATCGGGCATTTATCAGACCAAATCAGAAAATATCAATCTAAGTAAAAATATCTT